CCAAACTCCCATCTAAAATCCACTTATTTATTACACAGTGCCAACATTGCAATTAAAGCCCAATCCTGAGTTTTTAATTTAGAAAAAAACAACTCATCCATTAACATCTTTTATCCTAAAGGAAAAACACAGTAACTCACATGCTATAGGTTTGCCACCATTGCCTTAAACTGGCCTCAGTGATTTTGAATGTCTTGGATGGAGTCTAAAATCTCACTTCTTAATTCGTTCTCCAGAGATGTTGATGTTGTTTGCCTGGGACCACATTTTGAGAACTCTTCTAAGCCTGGCTGAACATTAAAACTACTTGGAGGAGCTCTAAAAAGTACCCAATATTTGGCTAAGTGAGGTCAGTTGAATCAGAAAATCTTTGTGGTGGTGGTGGGGGAAGCTCAGACTTAGAATGTTTCAAAAGCAACCCATAGTTTCACTGAAGAGTAGCCAGAGTTGATCATCTCTGTTCTGGGTTAAATTTCAATATCTGGCTGCCTTCAAAAATCATGTTGCCAAAGCAGTTAGCAGCAGGTGCCCAGAAATGCTAGAAATCCTTCCCAAGTGTGGCTGGTGGGCTGCACTTTGTGATCAGCTGGCCATATGTTGACCTTTAGGTGCCTGTTGTCTGGCCAGCCCACTCTGTGAGTCAGTGTAGGGCGGTTTCCTGGGAGAGTTTGGAGCCTGTGCAGTGTGCAAGGTCACAAAAGGCACACAGGGAGTTTTCCCTGCCTGATAGAAGGGCAGCTGCACAGGTTCACATTGTGTTCTGGCTTTTGATAGCTCGTCTGATCACACTGGCGGACAATGAACCATTTTAGATTTTTGAAAGGAAGTGAGGAAATATTTCTTACTGTTTTTCTCTACATTTTCTCATTGGAGCTCCTTCAAATGTCAGTTCCAGGATGATAGAATGATCTGCATTTTTACAGACTAGTAAATAAAAACTCCAAGAAGTTAGGTGAATTTTCCAGTCACAAGACAAAGTATGGCAGAGCCATGATTTGAACTTGGTGCTGTTTCACTCCAAAGGTGAAGGCCTCTGTCACCTTACCAGTTTTACAAAATGCCCCTGGTGCTCCAGAAGCTGTAGATATTATGTAGTATCTGCTATAGAATATGTGAGGCTCAGTGAAAAATGAAAACATGGGGCCTCTTGCTTTGAAATTATTAAGAAGATGGCAGCTGCAGAAAACTAGGCCAAGTGGAGGACCTTGAGCACAGGTGCTACCCAGGAAGCCAGCTGGACCTGATGTGTTAATCACCGCCAAACATTCTGGTCAAATCGGAGTCTGCTCAGAGGCAGCTGGTGGGGTGCTAGCCCCACATCTGAGCACAGTGGGAGGACTGGATTCTAGTGATAGCCCTTCAGAGGGTTCTTGTTGATCTTGGGCACACTGTCTAACTCCTTGGAGCTTCACTTGACTCCTCTGTAAAATCAAGAGCGGGAAGGGGGAGGGTAGGGGGGAAGCTGTCGGATCACATCCGCTTCTTCCCAACTTTCCTTATTTATATGCCCCATTTTTAATATATTGCTTACAGACTCTGCCCCCCAGCCACCCACTGAGTTGTAATCTTGATGGCTAGATTCTGGCTGCCTGACCTTGGGTGATTGCTTCAGTTTCTTATCTTTAAAATGGAGATTGTTGTGAGAATTAAAGAAGTAAATGAGATAAACTCAATAAGTAAAGGGATCAGAAAAGTGACTGATAAATAGATGAATCATATGTTATGGTTTGTGCCTAGGTGTCCCCCCAAAGCCTCATGCAGTCTTGGGGGAGCTTCTGGAGTTTGTGATTGATTACTGTGGGTGTGGATGCTGCATTTGCCCTGGGGCAGCTAATTTGCATTTCAATGTAAGGAGGAAAGAGAAGTTAGCTGCTTGAGCTGCTACTACTTCTCCTTTTGTGCTCTTGCTCTTTGCCAAAGCCATGAAAAGTTGCTTTCTGCTATGTGCTGCTCTGCCTTGGACAGCTGAATATGGACTGAACCCTCCAGTAACTGGGAGCTAAATAAACCTTTCCTTCCTTCAATTTGGGTGTTGGGTATTTGTCCCAGCAACGAGAGAAGAGTAATTAAGACAAACCTGTTGTTATATTTTTTTAAAAATTAACTTTTTAAGTGAAAAAAATTAGTTTCTTCCAGAGCAAAAAATGTTTCTGAAATTACTATATATATATATATGTTATTTTCAGTACATTAATAATGTATGACTATAGAGACTGGGTGTGGTGGTATACATCTGTAATCTCTGTGCTTGGGAGGCTGAAAACAGGAGAACCACTGTGAGTCTGATCTACGTAATGACACCCTGTAGACCCTGTATTAAATACATAAAAATGTATGACTATAAAGTATTCTGGAAATTTTCTTTAAAACCAGCTGAAATACTACTAGTGGAATGGGCCCCATGGGGTGGGTGACATCATACTGGATGTGAAAGCCCCTCCAGCTTAAATAGTCTGAATGAATGTGTCAGTCTGTGTATGTTGATGTCTATGGCTTCATTCTCTTCACAAACTCATGACTGAAATGTTTCCACCTAGTCCAGTCACTTCTTCCCAGAAGAGGGCCTTTCCAACTGTGAGCTACATGCTACAGTAGAGTGCTTCAACTGGCAGATTGTTTCAACTGAGAGATTGTGAATAAACTGTATAAATGGTGAAAATCTCAGTGAGTGAATGAGATTCTCTTACAAAGCCTCCCCTAGGTCTAAGAAGGGGCGACCCAATAGTGAAGAATAGGGACACATGTTAACAGAAAGGTGAGACTGACCCACAGAGGCAAGAAATCTGCTGACAACACCATGTTTCCTCAGACTGCTGTGTTTTTTGTGTTACTCTAAGTATTACCTTACAAGTTCCATGTAGAGTCTACATCCTTGAGGGTCTTTCTGGATGTTTGACTTGCATTTCTCTTTTCTTCTGTGAAAAGTACTTTGCACAACTTAAGCAGTTCCTGAACACATAGCATAAATACTCATTCTAGCACAAAGGACACTCATTGAACACCCACTTCTCCGGCCTCAACCAGTATAGGCTACTAATCAAGTCTTTCTCCTGTTGCCCAGACCAGTTGAGTCACAGGTATTTGTCTTCCTTCTCCTTTAGACACTTACTCTATTATTTAATATGACTTTTATTTAATCTATTACTTTCCTAGTTCTCAAAGTACTTAAGGCTCTTCCTTTGTTAAGCATTTGCTATCAGAGACCCTGGGGTTTCCAAGTTATGTAATGGACATAAAACTAGTGGCTGAAGGCTGGGCATGGTGTCACATGCCTGTAATCCCAGCACTCCAGGAGACTGAGGCAGGAGGATCCCTACCAGTTTGAGGCCATCCTTGGTGACATGGTGAGTTAAGGTCATCCTGAGCTACATAGTATATCCCTATCTCAAAAAATTCAAGCAAACAGATAGACAAATATATTTGACTCAGGAACTTTAAAATTAGTCTTAGCCTAGACATCTCTCTAGAATTATAAAGGCATCAACCCCAGCCATCTCATAAACATCAGAGATGGTGAGAGATGGTCAGTGGGTAAATTAAATAAAGCTGATCACAAGGTAAGAGTAGAAATCTTGGAAAAGATACAGGACTTCTTGAAATCAACAAAAGTGAGTATAGACAACAACTTGGAGCCTACTTGGAAAGCTGTGAACCACTCAGGAGGAGTCACATAGCTGTTTAGAACAGAAGGGAGAAAATTAGTAAGTGCGATAACACAAGGGGACTTTCCAACAGGATGACTGGATATCAGAGAATGAGGAAAGGACCTTGGGAAAAATGTAGAACTCTCAGATATTTTACAAAAGTCAGGCATGAAAGGGACATTGAATAGTGAGTCCTTGATACAATTTTAAAAAAATTTTATTTATTTATTTATGTGTGTGTGTGTGTGTGTGTGGCCAGCTCAGCCCACCAGGGGGCGGGGCTGGCTGGCCTGTGGTGCTGGGGGATTGAACTGTGGTCCCTGTGCTTTGCTAAGCTTGTTCTAAGTAAGTGCTTTAGACCACTGAGCCATCTCACCAGCCCCCTTGATACAATTTTGACAGAAAGATAATGCCAGAAAAATCCACAGTTATAGTGTTCATTTAAAAATTAGACCATGATGATCTTTTAGTTTTATCAGATGTGAGATAAATGAACTTTTTCATAATTTTTTTTCACAGGTTTAGCTTCCAGGACAGAATTCCACCCCCAACCCCTATAATGGTATTATTTGTGTTCCTTTTAAAATGTGCATTCACTTTAAATGAACTTTTCTTGGTACAAGTTATCCTCACAGAAGAAATTTCTTTTTTTAAAAATGTGTTTGGTACAGGGTCTCACTACACAGCTTAGATTTGTAGTGATTCTCCTGTTTTCAGCCTCCACAGTGTTGGGATTCCAGGTGTGTGCCACCATGACCAGTCTCGGGGGCAGGCTTAGTGTGCACAGGGGCAGGAGTGGTGAGGCATGTGGTGCTAAGGATCAAACCCCGGTCCCTGCATTTGCCTGAGCAGGCACTTAGTCAACTAGCTATCTTGCCAGCCCCAGGAAATTTCAACAATGCAATATTCAGTGAAATGATAGCTTGATCAACATCATTCTACCAGAAAACAATGACCAAGGACAAAATTGGCAGAAAGGAGACAACTGGTTTTGACTCTAATGCAAAAAGCAAGGGTCTCTAGAGCCAGCCCATTTGCTTAATAATGGAGATGCATAAGGCAATTAGAAGGAAATGTTGGGATATGCGTGTTCAGCTGGGTGCAATGGTGTATACTTGTATCCCAGCTTCCTCTAGCTAAGGCAAGAGGATTGTAAATTTGAGCCCATCCTAGGAACTTTATCTCAAAATAAAAACAAAAAGGACTGAGGATATATCTCAGTGGTAAAATTTCCCGGTTTCATTCCCAGGACAGGGAGAGAAACAGAGAGGGAGGGAGAGGGGGAGGAAATGGGGAGGGAGTAGGGGAGCAAGAGGGGGAGGGAGGCTTTCAAACATCCCAAAAGAAGTTGCTTACCCACAAAGCACCAGACTGCAAACCGGATCCATGTGATGGTGGAGAGCTTGAGCATGAGATAGATATTCACCAGCATGGCAAAGGCAGGCACAAAGGGGAGGCAGGGGGCCATATAGGGCAGCTTCTTGGGGTTCTCTGGCTGCTGCAGAATCACAAACACCAGGATGCTGATCAGCAGCACCATTAGAGCAACCAAAAGGAGGGCCCACCAGCTCCTCCCTGAGATGTAGTCAGAACCAAAGATGATGAAGGAGCAGAAGATGAACATGAGGATGAAGAGCAGGAGCACGCAGATGGTCACTGTGTGCCCTGTTGCTGCAGTGGGCCGGTCCATTTTGCCTGGAAGGCCTAGCCGGATTCTCAGGGTATAGTAACGGGGCCCAATCAGCTTCTTCAACTTGATGAGATAAATGTTCTCAGATTCATCTGCTTCTATGCCTGTGGTCATGTCCACGGTGCCATAGTTGGGGTGGTTGACGTTGTAGGTTGACTTGTCTGATTTCCCAATGAGCATCTCGTTGTCTCCCAAAGACGGCAGGTTCTTGGCCCCACATGTGTTGGTGGCTGGGCCAGAAAACTCTTCCCCTTCACTCACAGGAGAACAAGCTTCCTTCTCACAGTCAGCCAGGATGCCTTCCTTTTTTTTGGTGTGCTCCTGAGATAAAAACTTGACAAAACCATCAATGTCACTCTCAGGTTGGTATCGAAGAAGCAAGACGCAGACAGAGACCAACGTGTAGGCGAGGAGTGTGCCAATGGACATCATCTCTATCAGGTCTCGCAGGCTGACCAATAGGGAGAGGAGGGAGGCCAGGAAGCCCGACACGATGCAGGCCACCACTGGTGTCTCTGTGTAGGAGCTCACGTGAGCCAGGAACCTGGAAGACAGGTGTGAGCAGAGTCAGCAGTGTGTCACAGGTGGTAACGGATGCTAACATGGCCAAGGTAGGGGGACAGATGTCAACAGGTTGGTGTATTTAGCTCTTTCTGGTCCTGCTCCTCCAATTTATTTCTGCACACTGTTTTAACTGGTTGATATTCCTACCCTAGAGTTTGATTCCTAGAATATAACTTAGAATTCACTTAGATTCCCTGGTTTCGAGGCAAGCGTCCTTGTTAAAGTTCCTGCTCATGATGCGATAGGAAGAGAGGAGTGAGTCTAGGGGATCTGTTAGAGATCTAAATTGATCTAATTGTTGTGAAAAAGGATGACATGAAGAAATCATAGCCTGCTCAGGAGCCTTTAAACTTATGAATGTGCAGCATCAGCACCACAGTTAGCTCCTAAGAATATGTATATTCTCTGGCTTCACCCAGGATCTACTTCATCAGGATCTCTGGGAGTGGTGACCACCATTAAAATGTCCCAAAGCTTTCAAAAACTTTGTACTCACTGCCATGCAACAATAATACAAAGGCTTAGTTGGCAAAATAGTATGAAATTATGAATCTGTACTCAGCATTAAGTTTGAGGTCACCTAGTTACCATCTGAAGAAAAGAGGAACAAGGGTGATGATTGGATGGTCCGTGTCCCTTTAGCTGTTCCTGAGGCCTAAAGGAGACCCCCCTTCCTTCTTCTCCTGCTCTGCCACCTCCATCCTCTTCCATTCCTCCCTCATGTCTGATTCATAAAGAACTGTCAATTTGCTTGAAGCCTCAGTATCTTTCCTCTTTGTTTTGTTTGACAACAGGAAAACCTTTGGATGTGTGAAGCTGTCACACTTCTGACACTGTGCCCCTTTCTTGATGTGCTCAGAAGCACAAGTGTAGCAGCTCTGACCTGGTGAGGACTGCAGGGTTGTGCAAAGGAAACAAAGCAGGCGATGACAGCTGGTGGCAGAGATTAGCCTCTCAGCAGCTCCCTCTGCACCCCTGAGAGCTCCCTGTCTTGTCTTTCTCAGGCAGGCACTGGGGATCAAGAGACGAGGCCGCCTCCCTTTATACCATGACCAGGTGATGAGGAGGAGATCAGGAAGGGGCTGCAGTAATGGAGACGTAACGACTGCACACACCGATAGCGGCATGGCCATGCTAGGGGTGGGAACTGCCAATATACTGGTATGGTTAAGAGTCTATTTTTGAAGTCACATAGCTTTGGTTTTAAACACTGGCCTGTCATTCAGCAGCTGGAGGATTTAGGGCAAGATGTTTCACCCCTCTAATTCCTGGTACACTCATCTGCAAAATAGAGTTATTGTGAGGACTAAATGGGATACTGTATACAAAGCACCCAGGATACACAAATGTTCAATAAATGGTAGCTATTGTTGCTACAATTACTTCATTCTGTACAGAGGTTCTTATTTTCTTTCTGATTGTTGATTTCTTTTCAACTTCAGAGGAGCTGTGAAGAGAGAGGGTCAGGTACCAGGGCTGTCTTCCTTCTTCCCCTATGTCATAGTTTGGCACCCATCATCTTCACAAGCAAAACACGATGCCAGTGGAGAGAGAAAGAAAACTGAGGGCACCTATCAACTGGTGCTGGATTGAGGGAGTTGAACTGAGGGGCTTTCTCAGGGTGTGGCTTTTTTCACTCACACTCTCCTAGGGTGTCTGAGAAGTTCTGTAGTTAATGTGAAGAATTAACAGAAGAATTAACATCAGAATTACTGCTAGGTTGACAGAGGGTGACAGTCATTCTTGACTGAAAGGATCAGCAGAGAAGAACACACGTCAGAGAACAGCCCTTACCTGAACAGGAGCCCATCACCAGCCATGGCATAAATCACCCTCGGCATTGGGAAGAGGGAGCCCAGCAAGCTGACTGTCAATCCCGCAACTGACCCAATGGCCACTACGAACTTTGCAGCATAGAAACCATGAGCCACAAACATCTCCATGAGCGGGGATTCAGTGTCAATGGCGTAATATGGCACCATCAGGGTTAAGATAATGCTCACCTGTTAAAACAAGAGAAGAAGTGACTGCAGGTAGAGGGGCAGTTGCATGGACAGATGGCCTGTAGGGAGGAAAGTGCTCTGCCATCAGCTAGTGTGTGGCTTTATTAGACCAGTCATTTGGCCTTTGCAACTCTTTTTTTTTTTTTTTTTTTTTTTGGCAGAACCAGGAATTGAACTCAGGCCCTTACGCTTGCCAGGGAAGCGCTTAATCCACTGAGCCATCTCTGTGGCCCTTCTTTGCAACTCTTGACCTCCATGTTTTTCTTCATGTGGGACATTAGTAGACTAGTGAAGACAACTACTAAAGACTGCATATGGTCATTTCAACTCTGAAGAATGTCTGCAGGTACTTCAGTCCCATGAAAATACAGCAACCCTGGTGGTGCACTGGGGGTGACATTAACAGATGGGAAGGCTGCTGTCCATGTCTAGAAGTGACCATGGACACCCTGCCCATGAAGGCAAGATTCTCATTTCTTTCATTCCTTCAGGATCTTCCAGGGCCAGGGTCTCATCTATATTCTCTTATTGCAAATAGCAGACATTAAAACAAGGTAAATGCTTTGGAGGTCCACAGTCAGAAAACTGATGGGGCCCAATGGGGACTCATATTTCCATTTCTTTCTAGCCTCATCCTGAGAGTTATGCAGGCCAACAAATAACTTATGGCATCAAGGTACAAGTCAGTCCCACACTAGGGATGTCAGACTACCGTGGCTTTGCTGAACCAGGGAACTCTTGGCTTGGGGCCCGCAGGATCTGTCCTCCTTCAAATTCATAGACCTCCCTCTGTAGAATTAGCCCCTGATAGTGGAGCAATGAGTGATGCAGCCAGATGTGGAGCTTTCCCAGGCCTGGAAGACCAAGCCTGACAGAAAAGAGAGTTCAAAATCTGAAAGGGAGAGGGTGGTCACACGTAAACAACTTCTTTCGCCTGTGCCTTGGGAACAAGATGCTCCCATGAAGCCATGGGTCACTAGGGAAGACAGAGTTTACCATCACCACCTACCAATGGGATCTTTTCAGAGGGAATAGTGTGGCTGCCTGCTGACCAGTAGAAGACCAAAGAGTTCCTGAGGTACGGTGGAGGTTCACAGTCTAAAAGAGACAATTTCCTGGGGACACGAACACTTGTGACATCTCCTTTGAGGCTGGGGTGGGTTACCCTGGAGGAGAGTGGGGTTGATAATTCCAGGAAAGCGTGCTGAGTCTACTGCGATGCTAGAGCAGGTTGTATAAAAAGTCTTAGACAAGAGTTCACTGTAGTCTCTAAAGTGCTGCTCTAAGAAAGGAATATTGAGGATGGGCTCTGTGTGTGTGTGTGTGTGTGTGTGTGTGTGTGTGTGTGTGTGCACTGCAGAGGCCTTCCTCAGGACAGGGGTGTAAGGAAGCCCGTGTGTGAGAGGGAGGTAATGATCGATCCATCCATAAAATGTCTGGTGTACAACTGGATTTCTGTCAGTCACATCTGCGGTTACTCTTGGGAGCTTTTGTTTACTTTCTGGAATAATTCTGCTTTGCAGCTTGTCTTAACCATTAATTGGCCCAACTTGCTTAGTTAGTTGCTGAGGATGATTGTTTGGGAAGGGGAATGGCAGGGGTGGTGTGCTGCACCTCCAGCAGCTAGCTCTTTCCTACTTGTGGTGACCTGAGAGGGTAGGGCCTTTCAGACCTGGGTGTGCATGCATGGGTGCATTTTGCGTGTGTGTGTGTGTGTGTGTGTATGGCTATATACCTAAGGCTTGTGAGCTTGTTCTCTCTATTGCCAGGGGCTGACAGGGTGTTAGATATGGCTGAGTTATTTCTGCAATAGGAATTCTGGGCCAGGAGCTGAGAGATGAAACATCAATCGTGCTTGGAGGAACATCTCAGGGGATTCTGAGGAGACAAGGCTGAAGGCTTCATTCTGAGGGCTGCCTGAGGCAGGGAAACCCCAATGATGAGTTTGAGCTGGTGTGAAAAATCAGAGAAACAGTGGAAAGAAAGTGCGTTTGCCCCCAGATTTTAAGGGAAAGAGAGTCTCCAGAGGACAATGTATTCTCTCTCCCTGCTCTGGGAGCCTCGCCTCTTCACTGCTGGGAAGCTCCCAGAAGACAGAAGAGCATTGAGGGCTGTGTGCAGAGGCAACAATGCCTCTGCTTGCATGCCACCCGTTACTGCCAGCCTATGACCTGAGCTTCTTGGACGGCAGCCCATTGCTGTCCACCATCCCCTGGGGCAGCAGCCCCCATGCAGGGCCTGGGCACTGGGAGGGGCAAGGATGGAGATTCAGAGGCTAAGGCTGAAGCGAGGGCCTGGGGCTACTTCTCTTCTCCAGCTGGACTCATGAGTTTCTTCTTATCATTGCTGGGTGGGGTGATTAGGGCACAAGACACAATCATATAGAAACCAAGAAGGCACAAGAAAAGTCCTATTTCCACTTAGAGGAAGGGACACAGTCCTAGAACCATGTTTCAAGATCAAATATAAAAAGGATATGAGAAGAGTCCCTTCAACATATGCTACTTACAGACACATATGCTGTCAGGCAGATGACCAGCGAGGCAGTGATAGCATATGGTATGGACGTGTTAGGATTCTTGGCTTCTTCCCCGGTGGTGGCAATGATGTCAAAGCCAATGAAAGCGTAGAAACATGTAGCTGCTCCTTGCAGCACCTGTATGGATGATGGCATTGATCAGGCTCAGAGGACCAGAGCAGCTCAGGACCTTAGATGTGCCACCCATGACTGCTCAACTGAGTGGCAGAGAGGATTGAGTCATAGAGTTAGTGCCAAACACCTAAGGGCTTGTCTCTACTTTTTAGCTGTGTGAGCCTGGACAATTGCCTCTTGTGTTACACGGAGATAAGAATTTTTATGGCCAAATAAAAATGGGGTCATTCAGCACACTCATATCTCCTTTCTTCTTCTTCTTTTTTTTTGAAATAAGTTAAAAACAAACTGATAGTTGGCCCTCTCCATCTTAGGGAACTCATTAACCTTCTTGCACTTCGTTTTCATCCAGCAGTTCTCAAACACAACCACAGGCTGCATGACTTGCTTAAGGGATATTTAGAAGTACGTGTAGATGCTTCTGCCAGTCATGGAGACATGAGCTGGGAGCTTCTGGCATTTAGTGGAGAGGACTCAGATGCTTCTGCACAAAGAATTGTCCTGCCAAAATTTATGTTAGTGCCTCTGGCAGGTCATCTTGGGTACCTTCTAGACAGGAAGTGACAGAAAAGATTTTTGGATCTTTAGCCCTGTTTCCTTCAAAGGGTAGACAGAGTAGAGCCAAAACTAGGTGTTCTGTTCCTTTTCAGCCTTGAACAACCAAGTTGGGCATGAGGCAGACAATGAGCTTAAAGCTGGAGAGGTGGTACCGCATAGCATCTGCTGAGTGTGTCTGCCAGGAACTTATGTGGCTCCTAGTGTGGCTGGGTCTTCATGTCAAAATGTCAGTGAAAATCTTCCATTAAATGTGTATAGCTTTCCTCTGAAAAATCTATTACAGTTCAACTGAGTCTTCTCTACCTGGGAATTAGCATGAACTGGAAATAAAATATGTGTCTCTTTAAATGTCCAGGGGGACCAGGGATGTAGCTTAGTGGCACAAACGCTGGCCTGGCAAGTGCAAAGTCCTGAGTTCAATTTCTGTACAAAAAAAAAAGAAGAAGAAGAAGAAGAAGAAAGACCTGTGTTTTTGGGCTGGCCAGATAGCTCAGAAGACTAATGCACCTGCTTAGGCAGGCACAGGGACTGGGGTTTGATCCCCAACATGCCATGCCAGCCACACCCCCAGGGCATGGTGAGATGGTGATTGAGACTTGGGTAGTGGCATGCACCTGTAATCCCAGCTCTTGAGAGGCTGAAAATAGGAGAATCACTATGAGTCTGATATTTGTAGTGAGACCCTGTAGAACTTGTAATAAAAAAAAAAAAATGCCCAGGGACATCTATGTAGGAAACAAGATGTGGGTACTGGTGTACTGGGTAGGGGACAAACTGTGAGCTCTATGGAAGTCCAGGGAATAAGGGCTGCTGTAGATATTTCCCCCCTTGATCCCTTATTCACTTTATAAATAGCTCTGTGCAAAGTATGTGCCAAGCAGAATCTGGTCCAAAAATTTTTCACTTATACCTTCCCCATCGACATTTCTAGAAGGAAAACGCAGAGTAATATTCTAGAACCTTCAGGATATATCACCAATTGAAGATCTTATCAAACCTTCAAATGGCAATCTTTTCCCCTCTGTAAAATGAGTTGGTCTCCTCTGCAGTCCTTCTGGACCAAGATTCTGATATTCCAACTACTAAGCTAAGGTTTCTTATCCCAGGGTGAATGGCATTGATGGGGGAGTGTGTCTGTGACTTTCTGGTGGAAAATAATCACATTTTTATTTTCACTAGCCTCTAATAGAATGTCAGCAGTTCTTTTCATTATTAAGGCCACTACTTCAAAATCATAACAGGTACTAGGCATAGATAATGATATTTGTAGCACTAGTGAAGAAGTACATTGTTACCATGTCACAAGGGCCATATGGAGTCCATAGTCTCATGGGGCTGGAATGGAGTCTGTGGTACCAAAAAATTAAGAATTCCTGGTCTGTTCTAGTATGTCGGGTAGAAAGAGCTTCTCTAACACAAGCAGTGCCATAGTTCTAAGAGCTATTTTTCTGGAAGAGAAAAGGGCTCCCCTCTTCCCTTCTAGAAAAGCCTTTTGTATCAGGCTATGGAAAGTCTTTGGTATCCAGAGAAGGAAAGAAAAACAGACCTCATTTTGTCATGCAAAGAGATTCATAGGCTTAGAAATGTGCTTGTTTTACTTGTCAGGGATTTTCAAAGATGAACAGATGCTGGGACGCCAAGCCCACTAAGCTTCATTTTGAACTTGACACACATATAAGCCATGCCACTGTGCTGTAGACTGATCAAGGGTAGCCTTTCTCTAAGACAACTTCTAGAAAGTAGATCTGGGCTCTCTTCATTTAGAAGTTCTCTTTTCTACCACACACACAGACACCCCTTGCCCCACTTTCTTGTACATCATCCAGTGACCTGATAAAGCAAATGGGCAGATTAAGGACAAATTTTGAAAAAGGTGAGAAGTCTGTGGTACAGAAGACATGAGGAATGATAGGTGACTCTAGACTGTCTAATCTGAAGAGCAGAAGACTCAGTAGAAGATACCTTCAAATATCTGAAGGGCTGGTGAAGTTGTGGACCAGAGGTGAATCCCAGCACCATTCATGGAGGTAGGATTGGGATTTATTTATTTATTTATAAATATTTATTTATTTATTTTGTGTGTGTGTGTGTGTGTGTGTGTGGCCAGCTCAGCTCACCAGGGGGCAGGGCTGGCTGGCATGTGGTGCTGGGGGATCGAACCACAGTCCCTGTGTTTTGCCAAGCTTGTTCCAAGTAGGTGCTTTAGACCACTGAGCCATCTCACCAGCCCCAGGATTGGGATTTAGGAATGTAGATTTTATAGTCAAAACAAGGTTGGTTCTGCCATATATTAGCTTGGTAACCTAGCACAATTTCCTAAACTCTTAGAGCTTAAGTTTCTTTATCACTAAAATGAAGATAACAGCACTTGGATCATAGGATTGTTACAAAGATTAAGTTAGCTAATATAGTAAACTGCAATCCCTGAATGCAACAGATGCTTGGTAAATATTAGCTTTAACCTGTAGTTTTAGAATTGCTATTGATACGTTTTCCAGAGGAGATGAACCCAAGGTTCAAACTCCTCCTCCCTAAGTTCCATATCTTTTTCCTCTTCTCACACTCTTCCTTCATTTAGAACTTGACACATATACATCACATTGCAGGCACTTTGCTTGGTAATGGGGACATAGTCATGAACAGTAAAGTACTCTGAGCTTGACCTTGTGGATCTCAGAGTTTGGAAGAATACTTCAAGACTCCATATGCAACACTGACTATGGTAACAAACTGAACAAAATTTATAGGTATAGTATCTATATTATTTGTAAAATACAAATACTTCTGTTTCCTAAATACATGAAACAAAGGATTGGCAATTACTGATAATAATTAAAAACCAGGAAATTAACTACGATCAAGCTGATAAAAGGGGTGATGCATGCTAGCCTGAATTTGCATATGTAGAACTAGGAAGCAATTACAGTTGAAAAAAGAGTACCTAGTCACAGATAGGACATCTGGAGACCCTGCTGAGCAAGGCAGCTGACAGAATTGAGCTCAGATGATTCAAATGAAATGATGCCCAGGAAGGGTCTATTGACAGGTATCGGCCAGTGAGAGGGGGGTGAGGGAATCAACTGGGATTCTGAGACAATGAGAAATTGATGTCATCTTTCTGCCAGTGAGCTGGGGCAAGATAGTGGTCTTGGAGTCCAGCAAGAGCTGCAGAGGTAGAGTTCAGGAGGAGCTATGGCCAGTGTGGTGCCAGGGCTTGGAGAGGAAGGAAAAAAATCTTCTGGCCTTGCGTCTTCTCATCTTGTGATTGCCAGATTAGAACTTCCACTGGCTACACCCAACCAGAAGCAACGGCCAGGGGGCTTGGGGAACAGAATCCAGAGCATGAAGCTGGGGGGAAAAACAGTGGGGGAGGAACAGCACACCTACGGAGGCCAAGCTCACCCCAGCCTGACCCAGATTACACAGACTACCAAAGGCAAGAGAAGGTTAGCAAGAGAGGCCACCTTTGAACCTGGGGTAATTTGGGTGAATTTTGTTCTTTGTAACAAACAGTAGGTACAAAAGAGCCGTGGATCAAAACCATCTACGTGTCCCTAACCAGATAACCACTGTCCTCCATGCCATTGGTAACTGGTATTTAGGATTAGGATACTGTTACATGTATGAAAGGATGTGTGATCCCTAGATATGAGCATCTATGGATCAAACTGGAGAGGGAGCTGCGCGCGCGAGTGTGTGTACCTATATATGCTTCTATGGAAGTGTATGTTTGTTTCTGGGTTCACTGGAAAGTTAGAGTGGCTCTTTTGTTGTTTTATATACTTAAAATAGCATTGAGTTAAATCATTTCCCAAAGTAAATCTTGTGTGGTTGATTTCTTGTGTAGTATCAGCCAGGTAATGCAGAAGGGTCCACCCCTCCAACAGCTTTAGGAAGAAATAACCATGCCTCAGTTACTGGAGGGCTGTTGGGTACTTAGTTGTCAAAAGTAACCTCATTAATGACCTGCTAATCAGTGTGTGGGTTCTCTAAAAGCGGCTCCTGGCTCCTAGGCCTTGCTGACTTTTGAGAGGCACTAGGAGGAGGGCCCTCCTACGTTTGGCTAGCCTGCCAGATGCCTAGGAGATAATTAGGCCCGTTTGCATAATTCACTCCCAAGGTAACAAGACAAACCTCCAACTTGAACAGCATTTTCACCCACCCTGTTACCCCATCTCTATTAGCAGCCTGCCCACAGTGACAGTGGAATGTGAAAATAGGTTCCAACAAATGGAATCAGATGCAAGGAACATGAAAAACATCTTTTCCTTTGTTTGGGGATTGTCTGAATTTTCAAAAAAAAAATGCTTGTTTGGACTGTTTTCCTGGCAGCCATTTGTGCATTAGAGTGTCTTGTTTGGTTAAAGAAAAGCCCTAAGATAGCATCAAGAACAAATAACATGAAGGGCGCGCACATCCCACCGTGTTCAGGGGCTGAGCAATTGCAGATGGAAGCAGGGGCTCCACAGAGGGCGGGAGTTACTTGATACGGGGAAAATGTTTGTTGTTCTTAAGTTCTTCAAGACCAAAGAAACATTTGACCCAGAACCTGTAAGTGAGTAAACCATTCCTTAAGCTATTTTCTTTGGAAAGAAATGGTTGGAGCAGGAGAAAGAGTAGGTTTGTGAGAGCTCTGTTGCTAGAAGACAGATTGGGCACTGACGGTTTCAAAATACTGTACTTGCGAGTGATGCTTAATGTTATATAATGGAATCATAAAAAAAAAAAAAGCCCTATATGGTAGTTTTCTCTGTCCCATCCTAGCTAAAGTGATTAGAAAACAAATTGGATTGGAACTCTGTATTAGTCCCTTAGTCGGCAGCAGGGGTCAGGGTTTCCCTAAGGAGTGAAGATGTCCCTGCAGCTGCCAAGGAGGAGCAAGCTTTTGTTGATATTTGTTAGGTAAGAGTGGGACATGTGTTTATTACCCTGATAATGCACATGAGAGGGTTTCAGGTTTTCAAAACCGTGATTTAAATCCACAGTGCTCTTGCTGGATTGGAAAGATGACCTGGATCCAAAGCTGAGAATGAAGAGAGCCGGATGCTCACTCAGGAGGAAACGCGCTGTGCAGAAATGTAAGCCCAGGCAGAGAGCAGAGAGAGTGGATGGTGTCATGCTGGGCTGTCCTTCATGCTCAGGTGATACGCTCAGTCACAGCCACCAGGACATGCAGCTGAGTTTCCTTCAGAATAATGGATTTTACTGAAAATTCAGAATCCTAGCCATGTTCTTTTCATAGTCAAGGACAAAGCTACTCCTGATAGATGTGGGTGGACTGAGGCCAGTGGCCAAAGGTGCAGAAGCAAACCGACAAACCAGCAAATCAGCAGACAAACAAATGATAACTGGTTCTTTGGGTCCAAATGTGGGAGGCAGTGGAGTGAATACAGCTCTTGGGTCATCCAGGGCCAGGATCAGATTTTAGTTGTCACTTCCAGTTTAGAATTGTGATCTTAAATTCTGTAAGAATTTAAGGGCTAATAAAATGTACAGTAAATGTTCAAATTAAAAAAAAAATTATTACAGCTTGGGCTCATAGTGATCCTCCTGTTTTCAGCCACCCCAGTGCTGGGATTACAGGCCTGGTGGACAGCTCAACATGCCCAGGGATGGGGCCAGTGCAGCATGTGGTGCTGGGGATTGAACCTGGTCCCTGTGCTTGCCTAAGCAGGTGCTTAGTCCACTGAGCTATCTCACCAGTCCATTCATGCCACTTTCTGAAGCAGTTCTAGAATCTCTTTGTGTCTTTACAAGGTATAATAAAAAATACAGTGAATGGTGCTGTCACATGCTGTCCAACCACAAGGCAAGCTCATAAAAATATTACAGTGTGTCTTCATCCACCTTATTCATCAGATCTGGCACTGTGCCACTTCTGGGTCTTCCCCAAAGCCAAAATGACATGAAAGTTGAATTGTATTTTGGTGTAAAATTCAAGATCTTTGTACTCATTCTGGAGAGCTCTTGTGAAGATTAAATAAAAGTGTATATGAAAGAGTCTGTCACAAAGAAAATGTTAAAATATCCTTTCTTTCTTATGGCTCAATTCTAACCTTTTGTTACAAAAGCTAGTGAGAACCCAGGATGCATAAGTGGGCAGCTCAAGGCTAGCTTGGCTACTCTTTCCTTGATGAGGTAAACTGTAGTGGGCAAAGGATGTGGAGTCCATGAGAAAGGAAGGGCAAACTCTCTGAGAAATAAAGTCCCTCTACACACACACACCAGGTGAAAGACAAATCTAACCAACCTTCTCATCCTCCTCAGATTTGGGGACAGGCATTTATCCACAGGATGCTAACTCTTCTAGTCTCATTTTGGGACCTAAATTACAGGAGGAGCCATGAAAGGAGCCACTAGGAGCATTTGGAATGGAATAAGTTATTAAATATGAATGGAATAAGTTAGATAAATAATTGCTTTGACAAGATGTCTTCATAAGCAGTGGAGCCTGGGTTGGTTTAATCATATTCTATTTGAAGATAAGAAACGAGCTATGCTATCTTTCAATGTTACCTCTAGCTCTTAGATTCTAAGATTTTACGAAAGTTTAAAGGAATTATAGCATCTCATATTAACTACCTTATGTTAAAGAAGGAGGGATAAGAACCCTTAAAAGAACCAGGCTCATCATATTGTAGATGAAATACTGAATAAAGTAGAAAGGGTTTCGGTGTCCCACAGAAGGTCAGAACGTCAGCCGTCAGCCACAGCACTGATGGCCTGAGAGATCTGGAGGTTACCCAGCCTCTCTGACCCCTGCAGCTCTGCTTTTTTTCATCAAGAGTAACATTATCTGCCCTCAGGGTCTGCTTCAGAAGTGAGATCATATTCATTGTTATTCACCTAATGGGGTAGGCAGTAAATATTAGCTCCTCCCTCTTGACCTTGTAACTATCACTAATTCTAAGAATGTGCACTAAGATAACCAAGATTTGGTGCTTTTTGCAAGCATTTTGTGAAGTTTGTTTTTCCACTTGATGGATGGGAAAGCCTTAAATACAGAAATTAACTGATGCCCGAAGTCTTACAGTAAGTTCATGACCCAATAATTTCTTACATTGTTGAGCAAACACAGAGAACGTTTTCATGTGCTACAATAAAAATGCAGTTGAGTTCCAAGAAAACATTCTTTCTTCTCACTCTTATAATTTGTTGTTTCTCTTATGTGATAGGAAAGGAACAATTTGTATCATAAGAAAATATAGACATGGGGATTCAGAAAGGGGTCAACAGTGTCTCTTTGTCTCTTCTTTGGATTTTTAACCAGTTCCTGTATATATTACTTTTTTGGAGAAGAGGCGTGAGCTTTGTGGTTCTTTGGAATTTTTTTTGATAAACGGAAGACTAGAATTCTTTAAAAAAAAAATTAGATACCTTCCTTGCTTATTTCATTGCATTGAACAGCATGGCATAGGTCAGAATAAACAGAAGTTATTTTGAACGTTCTCCAAGAGAGATTTCTGATCTCTAGACATCTTGGAGGAAAATCAGTGTAAGCAAAAGCCACAAAGCTAAGCAAGTGGAGTCCTTGGCTCTCCTCTGCCCCAGTGTTGGGCAGATTTGCCTTTCTTGGCTTCTGGTGATTTCTCATTTGTTGCATGAGACGATAGGACCCTGAGACCACTCAGATCCCTGCCAGCTGAAAATTTTCTAATTTATGTTCTACTGTCACACACATGGCCAGTGATTTTTACTGTTAACCCCATAAAATAAGCATTTTAGTCATGCCAGAGAAATAAACCAGTCCCAACTTACAGCCACTTATAGATACAAAGAATTTGCCACTCTGACCTTCTCATTTTTCTCTTTCTTTGTGGTGCTGAGAATTAAACCTGGGGGTCTACTTGTGCTGGATAAGTGCTTCTGCCACTGAACTATCCATCTCCCTGACTCTCTCACTCCCTTTTTACTTTTATCTTGAGACAAGGTGTTGCAAAGTTACTTAGGATGGCCTCAAACATGTGACCTTTCTGCCTCAGCCTCCTGAGTAGCTGGGATTAAAGGCCTGTGTTATTGTGCCTGGCACCATTTTTCATCAGCATAATCCATACCACTATATGATATGGATAAGATCTGAAAATGTTCCTTTGCTTCAGGACACTCTCTTGCTAAACTCCAGAACAAATTAAATAGACTTCTGTGCTGTAGCTGAGGCCTGGAATAGGATTTCTAACCAGCATTCATTGAGCCTGCTCAGGTACGCTCAGACCCACCAGGATTTTCCCCCGCGGGTGAAATGCACATTTTTTCTCTAGTTTCCCACCCTCCATTCCTGGTCTCCTTTTCTGCCTTGTCTATTTACAGATGTGCCAGATTCTCTTGTAGGAATAATTTGTAGGATATAAAGAAATTCTGTGAAACTAAGCTGTTCTTGTACGGTTTTTAGAGGGCAACAGGCTCGGCTTGGGGTCCCTATCCTGATGTATAGTTTGTGCTTAATTCATTTGACCTCTCTGAGTTTGAGTTTTTCATCTTTAAGAAATCAATGTAATATTTTCCTCCCAAGATAATTCACATTGATTTAATTTGATTTGCTATGTACAGTCATTGCTACAGTGTCAGATCTACTGCAAGAGGCCCCAGCATGGAATGTATTATTCTCATTCATGTAAAATAATATTTCAATAAATACTTGTGAAACAAGTAAATTTTAAAACCCCAAGAACCTTTTCTTCAGTTAAGTCCAGACTGAAATGATCAAAAGGCTGCTGTGAAGATTATGAGACAGAGAAGCCACTTAAAAACCCAAGTTAGGGAGCGGCAGGGTGGAAGACACCGTGAGTGAGAGGTACAGCAGGCTTCAAGGACTCACCCCAGACCAGCCATGGGGCAAGAACTGGCCCTCGGCCCAGTATTTCCCGTTGATGAAGAAGAGGCCTGCGATCATGATGAACACCCACACTGCCAGGTTCAGCACGTTGAGGACGTTGTTGAAGCCCACAGAGTTCTTCACCCCCAGAGCAACAATGACGGTCACAATGATTGCAATCAGCAGAGCCAGAAGGTCAGGGTAGGATTCTTCGCCTTTGCCTAGAGGAGAAGGGCAAGGCTTAGTACTGTTCAGAGGGAAGAGAAGGCATGCACATTCCTGACTTCAGGTATCTGCTTTCAGTTCTGACCCCCAGAGCAGTGGTCAGTCTGTCAGTCCAGACACAAAAGAGAGAGAGAGAGAGAGAGAGAGAGAGAGAGAGTGTACCTGCCTATGTGTCTATTTATAGACAGGTAGATTTGGTAGGTAAGTAAGAGGATTTGAGATCCCCAAATTGGGATGTGTAATGTAACAGTTACAACAGCACCTGTGGGAATAAGGAACAGAGCGGTGGTGACGGGTCTCTTCTGGGGTTTTCAGGATGTATACCTAGGTTCCACCCGTCCTGTGAAAATGGTTTTATCTTCAATATTGTTAATTTTGTGGCTTGTAAAACTTATATTCCATGCCCCAAAACTTTGCTTTTACCCAATTTTAAAATGCATGTCTTTGGAAACTACTGTAAGGTGGGTTTTCTGCTCTCTCGTGTGCAAGTGGCTGCCCAGAATTGGGCTGGAGGCAGGTCCTGCTTGTTTGGCCTTGCCCTTTGGCCAGGGGAATCCTGCCCTCTATAGGGTGGAAAAGGAATTGCACAGCAGTCAGGGAACTGGGATTTCTGCTGCACTTTTGCAGCCAGCAGGCTGACTTTTGGAATGTTTCTCTTCGTTTTGCATTTATCTATAAAGTTAAGGAGATGAAGGACAACCTAATTCTGTGCCATTTTATGAAATCATTGTACGGAATAAAGCGGTTTTCATACTTTCCGTACTGTCACGGTATCTGGGTGAAAAACTTCAGTCAGTTTTTCTGAGACAAGAGATATTGAGGTCAAAGGACTTTCCACAGCCACAGTATCATTGCTTGGAATTTCTGAGGAAAATCCCAAAGCTCCCTCAGCTATTGGTTAGCTTCTCGTGAAGATGAAAAGACAGCAGCAGACAACAGAATGGAAAGTGGGCGGAAAGGGACAGACAGAGGCTGAGGTGTCCTGGTAGTGTAGGTGGCATCTGACTGTTTAATGTTCAGTCAGGTATATTACATATCCCTGACTTCTCATCACTGGGAATCCATTTTGTTCCTCAATATTTTTAATTTAAAAATCAACATATGTTTATTTATAAAATTTTGAAAAAATTCAAATGAAACCACTGGAGGAGTTTCTTCCAGTTCTTTTTCCCGAATTGGTTTTATTTTTATGTGGTTATTGACACATTATATGCACAGAGTAGTTTGTATTCTTTGATACATTATATTAGGTTAAAACATATTCTGTGTTATTATATAGTCTTCCTCAATCATCCTTTTAGTTGCTAGATGCATAGTATTTAACCATAATCCAGTCAATTATTTGCCACACTGAAAAATACTTAGGCTATTTGTAACTTATTTTAATACAAGTTGAGCATTTATAAGCTGAAAATCTGAAATGCCCCAGAATCTGAAATGTTTTGAGTGGAGATGTATGACACCAGTGAAAAAAACCTACACTCTGTTTCATGTACAAAAATACTAAAATATTGAATAAAATGAATTCTAGGCTATGTGTATAAGGAGTATATAAAACACACATGAATTTTTGTTTAGATTTGGGTCTCATCTCCAAATCTCATCATATATGAGCAAATATTCCCAAGTCTGAAAAAAAATCTTAAATTCTGATCCTAACCATTTCAAATAAAACTCCTTAAATAAGGCTGTGTGATTGTGTGATGAACAGCTTTTTGTCTAATAGTTTGCATAACACTTCCATGAAAATTAGAATAATTTCCTCAGGCTGAAAAAAAATTACAGTGCAAACACAAGAAAGCACCTCTCAAAGTTCTCGACATTTTGGATTTCTAAAGGGGAGCGCACGCATGCATTTGCTGCAGCATTCTCACCCAGGCCATTGAGGGTCCCCACGCTGTCCACCATCCAGCGGCTGATGGTGTGGTTTGCCAGTGAGTCAAACATGCTGCTCAGAGCGCTGGCACCGGCTGCAGTGCCGATCAGGTACTCCAGGATCAGGTTCCAGCCAATGAAAAAAGCCACAAATTCCCCAACAGTGACATAGCTGTAGGTGTAGGCAGATCCGGTAGTCTTGGGGACTCGGACTCCAAACTCTGCATAGCACACTCCTGCAGGGAACAAGCACACACAAATGGTGGACTGTAAGAGACGAGCAGCTCCTTGATTGGCAACAGTCTTGGGTAGAAAATATTGGCTATTTCTGAGCTCTAAGAACAAATACAGTCTTACGTACAGTTGCATGTCATTTAGTGATGGGATTGTGTTATGAGAAACATAGTAAGCAATTTTGTCTCTGCATGAGCATCATAGAGTGCGATGCACAAGCCTAGATGGAATGCCTGCTGCACACCTAGCTGTATTTGACATGGCCTCTTGCTCCGAGGATCGTGGTGAGCAAAACAAGTGCAAGTGAAAATAATACAAGCGAGAGAGGCAGCAAGAGATAAACCTGAGGTGGATGAGGCTGGTGCCAGCCCAAAGAAGTGGACCACTTTCCAGTAGTCTTTTTTTTTTTTCTTTGTAATAAGTAGAAGGAGTGCTGTGAAATACCTCTCAGTGGTGTAGTATAGTAAATACAAAAGCCAGTGACATAACCATTTGTTACTATTGTTGACTGTTACGTACTGTACATAATGCTATGTGCCGCCCATTGATATTGATGGGAGCGCAGCAGGTTTGTTTATATCAGCATCACCATGAACGCCTGGGTGACATGCTGCACTCCAGACCTGGCAGTGCTGTGACAGCTATGATGAAGCTGGTCTGTGGGAATATTTGCTTCCATGATGACATTGTGGTACCACAGTCATGTGCATGTTGTATCACTGAACAAAAACATCATTATGCGGCATGTGACTGTACAGGAATCAATTCTACCCCAATTCCTATTACTTCCAACCATATTTTCCCAAAGCCTTTTAACCTTAATGCTTAGGCAGGCAATCAGAGCTTGTTTTACCGAACTACAAGAATTTGACCTTTACTTATTTATTTATTAATTATTATTATTATTATTATTATTATTATTATTATTATTATTTTTTTTTTGGCAGAACTGGGGATTGAACTCAGACCTTTGCACTTGCCAGGCAAGCACTCATTCTACTGAGCCATCTCCCCGGGCCCCCAAGAATTTGACCTTTATTTAGAAAAATTCTCATTTGTTGTGTGGTTGTGTGGACTCTGTTGGGCTCATTAGGTGGCAGATATCCTGGGTGCACATGGGTCTGAATCGATGTGTCCTTTCCTGAGGACCAGGGCCATACTGTGCTGTACCATTCTCCTATTTCAGTTTTTCCAGGTTATAGAAGATGCTCTTCATTTGAGAGTGGTTGTTTCAGCCATCTATGAAAAGTCTTTATTGTTTCAAGTAGGTAGATAAAAATGCAAATATAAATGAGTAGCTATTGATAAATACGCAAAAGATAATTTAACAAACACTTAGAGTGTGTGGCAGAATGTCAAGTGTTGGAAACACGAAAGACAAGTGACGCATGTCCCTTCTTTCAAGTAGAGATATGCAGGGAGTTGGCGCACACGGTAGGCCCAATGAGCCTGATGGTGCAGAAACGTGTGGGAATAGTGAGAACAGAGATGTGAGACGTGTACTCAGCTGGCTTTGAGGCACACAGAGGAGTTCACTGGATACAGAAGGTGGAACATGAGGTAAAGACGTGGACGGCAGGCAGGATGAAAGACTGGAGTGGAGGAGAGCGCATGTGGGGTCTTAGGAGGAGACGAGGCTGGACGGTTAAACAGTGTTTTTGTGAGAGGTTTTGGGGTCCACTCTTGCTAGAATCATCCACTGAATTCTAATTTCAGGGGAAATTGGTATTTCAACATTCCCCAGGTGATGCTTGTGCTTGCTTATATTTGAAAAACAAAAATCCCCACTAGAACATTGCTTCATTCTTTGATATGATTAGAGATCAAATTAGAAAGAACAAGCTGGGGATATAACTCAGCAGCATAAGTGCCTGCCTGGCAAGTACAAGGTCCCAAGTTCAATCTCTGGCATTGTAAAAACAAAAAACAAAAAGCAAAAACAAAATGTAGAACGAAACAAATTAGAAAGAGATTGAGATTACACCAAACTTCTGGGAATTGGCAGTTTCTTCTGGCTGGGAGCTTCGGGTGTGGGGCTGATGGGTAGGTGGGCAGCCAGTTGGAGGACAGACCTAAGACAGCTCGTGGGAAACATACCAGGAGTGGGATGTAGTAAGATGTAGGATGGAACTCAAAGTACACTTTACCTTTAGTCCCAATTTTGTTAAGGACCAACCCTGAGGTTCTCTCATTACAAACCAGGGAACAATAGTTCACTCTTTTGTGAATAAAGAGAGCGGGTTTCTTCTCCTTTTGAAGGAGGGATATCAATGCAAGGAAGCAAAAACAGAGATGTCAAGAGCAGTGGCACAATAAAAGCGATACAATCTCTTCCTTCCCCACCATTGCTCCAGCTGTGAAGATGTGGAGGGAATCCTGCACCTGATAGGCTGGCTCCTGTCTCAGACCCTCCCCTTTATGTTCAGCTTCTTTATTTGTAAGATGCAAGTGCTCTGCTAAGGATCTCCTAACGCTTACGCCCTAGGATTCTGTTATGTTGAGTCTTGCTTTTGCTGTAAAATATCCTGAGTGTAACACGACTCTTTTTTAAAAATGTCATTCATTATGTTGTCCTGTATTATGGAGATGCTTTTGGGAAGAGTGAAACCTTTTGTCTCCACATTAAATGGCCCAGGCTGGTATTTTAGTTTTTATTTCAGCCTTCCGCCCCCAATTTTATGCAATATTTTTCTGCCTCTCTCCTTGATGTCAGGCTGGCGGTTCTTACTTGTTCTCCTGGTCCTTACCTTGAGTTTCCAGACCATCTCCGTTCTAAATTGCTGCTTCCAACACTGCATGTTTATACTGACAGAGTGAGCCTGAAATTAAGAGGAAGTGGTCTCTGAAGGGAGGCCTGAAGAAGTTGCCCATGGGGAGAGTAGAGAGTAGGTGAGCATTACGGTTGGGGGTCTGATGGTATTTTCCTGGAGGGCTTTTGTATTTGCCTTGGAGTTCTTGAGAGTTTAATCAGTTAGCCGCTGTACAAGGAAGGGATTAGAAGTAACTAATTTCTCTCCTTTCCACAGCTCCATTCAATAACTCCTGAATCCCGTTAGTTTACTTCATACACAAATTTGTACACCTTGATAATGTACAAGGATATAAATAGAATTTTTCCAAGCAGTGTTCTATATCAATAGAATTTTTCCAAACAGGCATCAATTTGACTGCAAATTTAATTTGGAGAGTTTGCTAGTATTGTGGAGTTTGTACAATCAAGTGTTCTCTTCCACAATAACTGATCTGCCAAATGAAATGTAAAAATATCTAATTCGCTACCAGAACCTGCTTGCGAGATGTAGTGACAAGTGAGGTCGGCATTAGGTCTATGGAGGGACAGGCCCCACTGTCTTGAGTCTGAGGAAGAGGCCCTGGCTAATCGTGGCCTAAGGAGTCTCTGGAATCCCAGCCACTCATTTCCCAAGGTCCTGCTGAGACCCTGAGGAGTGCAGTTTGCGAAAACAGTGGGAGAACCAATCAGCCAGTGGCCATTTCAGACAATCTCTGTTTTGCAAAACCATTCTTTTGAACACACTGCAAGGGATTTTCTAGTATTTTTAAAATATTAAAGATTTTAAAATACTTTCTGATTTGTTTAAATGCAGGAATCCAGGCTTTTAGTGAAAACTAGAGATGATCTAACCTGGCAATCATACTTAGTGGTGAAAAGTGAGTGTTACAGGCCAGAACATTCTGGAAAAAAAATCCCTGAAGTATTTTGTCAATTATTCAAGTATTTCATATTATCTAATATTTTAATTACACAAACATTTCAAAATATCTGGTGTTTGAGAGAGATACAACTTCTAATTTTCAAAAGAAAAGCTGTGGAAAGGGAAACTTATTTTTTTAGTACTACTGGGGATCGAACTCAGGACTTTGTGCTTGCCACATAGGCACTTATGCTGCTGAGCTATCTTCCCAGCCCCCTTGGTTTTTATCTTAGTGACTGAATATCTATGATTATGTGTTTATCCTCACAGGGGTGAAATTAAGCAGCCCACTAGAGAAGCTTTAGGTCCTTCCCAGTGTATCTTTGGTTTCATGGATAAGGGCAACTCTGAATTATCTCAGAGAGGGACACCTTATAGAAAACACTACAAACCAGTGGTTCTCAACCAAGGTAGTGGTTCCTCCTTAGGTAAGGGTGGAAATCTGTAGGAACATCTATGACTCTCATGATGATTGTAGGCGCGTGTGCTGTTACATAGGCAGGGACCTTATCTGTTAGACATTCTGCTGTGTGTGAAACACTGCCTTGGAATGGAGCACTGTCTTGCATCTCCCCTGATTCGGAAGGTCTCAGTGGGTCATCAGGGAAGGGCCAATCTGCTTATAACTTCTGAAGTGAACTTATCTCCATTGTACCTATAAATACATCTGCTTTGTATGCTTTAAAAAAATACATTTTCTAGGACTACAATCACTGGATAAATTGAAGGAGAGATGTAATTTGTTTTTTTTTAATTTTTATTTATTTGAGAGAGAGAGAGAGAGAGAGAGAGAGAGAGAGAGAGAGAGTGTGGTGTGTGTGTGTGGCCAGCTCAGCCCACCAGGGGGCGGGGCTGGCTGGCATGTGGTGCTGGGGGATTGAACCACGGTCCCTGATGCTTTGCCAAGCTTGTTCTAAGTAGGTGCCTTAGACCACTGAGCCATCTCTCCAGCCCCTGTAATTTGTTTTGTTTAGAATTTACCAAATTTGGCTATCATTTTGGAAAACCATGTCCACAACAGCAGCATTGTTCATGGTCTTTGAGCATCACACAGCACACCTATGTGAGTGTGTATTTGTGATGTTTGCATTCCTAGTGATTCTACAGATAACTGAAAACTTCTGACAACTTCACTATGTCCTCTAAGATACACCCCTGCATTCACAGAGAAATAAATATTGCTTTCATTAAATATTCTTTTGATTTTTTTGAAAAAGTCAAATGGGTAGAAAGGTAACATTACCTTTAGTTTTCACTTCAGAATAATAAAACAAGCTTTACAAAGTATT